AAACTGTAACAATTCTCCTTGGATCAGATATAGACCAAAAATAAGCCTCATTATCTTCAGTATACAAGTGTCATTTCGGACCTTACAGCTTTCATAGAAATCGCTTCTGGACCGTCAAAGAAAAAGTTTGAGAACCCCTGGTCTACGCATTATACACATCAGGACCAACTTGACAACTTGACAAAAATTTGAGGGGGGTTCGACCCTCCCTCCCCCTCCCCCCCCCCCCCCCCCTGCGTACGCGCCTGCATGTGCATCCCTTCTTCCTTATTCCCTTATCCATCGTTACGGTCACTACCATTTGAGTAGGGCCGGCCCCCTCCTTAATAACGACTCCAAAGCCATCAAGAATGACCCCATAATTTATAGATTACCATTCTGCCGTTCTTTGGATCCGGAGGGGCCGGGCGCGGCCTTTTCAGAAGTGTTTCTACACTAACCTTTTCATGCACTCCGGCTTAACATAAACAAGCATGCTAAGATTGTTTTGAAAAGAAGCATAATTTCGACTCAGTTTCGCATAACCTAAAAATAAGAATACGGCCAGTCACCCCTTCCCCCCCCCCCCCCCCCTCCCCTCAATGCATCCGCCTTTACACACCCCCCTTCCCCTTGTCTTTCCTTATTCGTCGTTACTGTCACTAATTTTTAGTGCCATTTCGTTGTCTTTCTTTCTCCCCGGCTCCTCTCTTCTTTTTCTTTCCTCTTTTTTGAACTCTCTCTCTTTTCTTTACTTTTTTGTTCTCTTTTCTTTTATCTTCTCCTTTTTCCCCCTATGGGAAATTATGGGTATACGGGCCGCACGCATGTGCGTACGTCGGGTTGCTTTGCCTGGTCGCACGTACGTACATGCGAGCTTGTATATAAAGGGCTTTTAGCCCGTTGCCCGGGGCAGAATTACCAGTAACCAGATAACAGAAGTATAGACTACGCATCGGAGTGCACTACAAGCAACGGAGATCATCACAGCAACCAGCAAAGGACAGCATCGACGGATTCTGACATATAGTGACGACTCTGGTGAGTAGATTTTACTTTACCCCTTTTTTTCCTTCTTTTTTTCTTTCTCTTTTTTCCTTCTCAATTTTTTTTGCTTCGCCAATAGGGGGGGGGGGGCCCGCGGCCGTTTCGGCCCACCCCTGGATCCGCCACTGAAGTGCCCAGACTCTTCGCTTCTAACGAACTCTTTTTCTCTAGGCCTTTGTGATAATAACTCAATTTCAAGCGAATTATTGTCCTTCTTCAAATGTGATAAATGCATATGCCTCCAATCAAATCTATTGAGATCTTTAAAATGTTAAGCACCTGCAAAGCACGTTACCCAAATTATATTTCAGTCATGTTGAAAAAAGGGTATTTTATTACAGCCTTAACTTAACTATCCCTCACCATTTATAATAAACAAATGTTTTGCAACGCTCTCCCCTTCCCAAGAGCGTTTAATATTCGCCCCCAATGAGAGCAATATTTTGTTTTCTCAAAAGCTTGCTCTACACTTGCTAGTATTTATGATTTATGCGAAAGCAGGTAGGCCTATCAAGTTCCAGGTAAGGAAAGAAACATATGACCCTTGTTAACAAATTAATCAGAATGTAGTGATACATTTTTCAATGACTTAGAATTGTATTTTCCCGCTGTGTGGTTATACCGTTATAGCGCCTATCCTTTTTAGCTGTCCCTTTTTGTTGGTCTCCCCTCCCCGCTTTGGAAGACGCTCCTCCGCCTATAGTGTGTCCTAACGCGACAGGTTGGTTACCTGGGCAGATAAATTTCAAACAAAAAGTCCAACACATACGGTCGGGATTTCAGAAATCTTTCATAATAGTAAGTTTTACGGTAATGCACTGCTCTTTGCCCCTAACCAGGCGCGGATCCAGGGGGGGGGGGCCGAGCGGGCCTTGCCCCCCCCCCCCGCAAAAAAAAAAAAAAAAAAAAGAGAGAGAGAAGAAAGGAAAAGAAGGGAAAGAGAAAGAGGAGAGAAAGGGAAAGAAAGAAGAAGAAGAAGAAGAAGAATAAAAGAAAAGGGGGAAGAAGGAGATCGGGGGGGACCGAAAGGGCCTTTCCTCCCAGGCTGTTGACCCCCCCCCCCCCCCTCCAATCAAAAAAATAAGAGAGAAGGGAGGAAAGGGAAAGAAAAAAGGAAAAGAGGAGATACTGGCGTACTAATGGGGGGGGGGCTTTGGGGAAATCAAATTCAAACGTGGTTTATTTATAATTCCACAACGGTGGATTACAAATAATGCTGAAATGACATAATTTCCGAGATTTGTCCTCACTTTTTAGTAAATTATACGTTTGTATATGTGTTTGTTGGAAAATGACAAATTCCTAAATTTACAGCCAGGCACGAAATATGATTCTTGAGATTCCTACATGTCAGGGCCCGAGGTACGGCAGGGATCGGGAGCCTCGAGCTCCCTCCCCCCCCCCCCCCCACTTTATTTGAAAAAGTATATTAAAGAGAAAAAAAATAGAATGAGCGCAAGAAAGAACGAATATTTAACTGCCAGTGTTAAAAAATGAGTCATCAAAATATGCTCATCTGACCGTGATTAAATGCCTAAAACCTTAAGCTTCCGGGGCTCTGCCCCCTGGATTCCACCTAGGGTGCTACGGCAGGCCCTTAGATGCTCATCTGACGGTAATTTAATGCCTAAAACCCCGCTTTTTGGGTGATCCGCCCCTCTGGACCCCACGCCAAATAGTGACCTGCCAGTGTCACAAAATAATAGGTATTAACAAAAAATGATCATCTGACCTTAATTAAACGCCTAAAACCCCTGAGCTTCCGGAGCCGGACAAGTTATCAAAATGTGTTTATCTGACGGCAGGCGCGTAGCCAGCCAGGGGGGGGGGGGGTCCCCCAAATCGGAAGAGGACGTAGAAAGTAAAAGGAGCAGACAAAGAAAATCTTTGAAATTCAGACAAGGATTAAGAGTATAGAGAACGGTACAACGTATCGTCTTCTTTCTCTAATAATTTAATGAAACGTCAAAGCTTCGCGCAGGAGGGGAGGGGAGGGGGGGGGGGACTGAATTCAGACAAGGATTAAGAGTATAGAGAACGGTACAGTGAATCGTCTTCTTTCTCTTATAATCTTATGAAACGTCAAAGCTTTTGCGCGGGAGGGGGGAACCTGAATTCAGACGAGGATTCAGAGGCGAGAACGGTAATAATAATCTTTAATGAAACGTAAAAGCTTCCGCGTTTTGCGCGAGGTTGGAGGGGGAACTAAATTCCGACGAGGATTATTTTCGAGAACGGTACAACGAATCTTCTTTTTTCTCTATTGATTTAATGAAAATTAAAAGCTTCCGCGCGGGGGGAACCTGAATTCAGACGAGGATTAAGATTCGAGAACTGTACAGCCAATCGTCTTCTTTCTCTCATAATCTTATGAAACTTAAAAGCTTCCGCGCTTCGCGCGGGAGAGGGGGGGGGGGGACCTGAATTCAGACGAGGATTAAGAGTCGAGAACGGTACAACGAATCGTCTTCTTTCTCTAATGATTAAATGAAAAGCTTCCGCGCTTCGCGCGGGAGGGGGGGGGGGGAACCTGAATTCTGACGAGGATTAAGAGTCGAGAACCCTACAACGAATCGTATTCTTTCTTTAATAGTTTAATGAAACGTCAAAGCTTCCGCGCTTCGCGCGGGAGGGGAAAAACTAAATTCAGATGAAGATTTGAGTCGAGAACGGTACAACGAATCGTCTTCTTTCTATCATAATCTTATGAACTTTAAAAGCTTCCGCGCTTCGCGCGGGAGGAGGGGGGGGGGGACCTGAATTCAGACGAGGATTAAGAGTCGAGAACGGTACAACGAATCGTCTTCTTTCTCTAATGATTTAATGAAACGTAAAAGCTTCCGCGCTTCGCGCGGGAGGGGGGGGGGGGAACCTGAATTCAGACGAGGATTAAGAGTCCAGAACTCAACAACGAATCGTCTTCTTTCTCTCATAATCTTATAAAACTTAAAAGCTTGGGGGGGGGGGTACCTGAATTCAGATGAGGATTAAGAGTCGAGAACTCTACAACGAATCGTATTATTTCTTTAATAGTTTTAATGAAACTTCAAAGCTTCCGCGCCTCGCGCAGGAGGGGGAGGGGGGGGGGGACTGAATTTAGACGAGGATTAAGAGTCGAGAACGGTACAACGAGTCGTCTTCTTTCTCTAATGATTTAATGAAACGTAAAAGCTTCCGCGCTTCGCTCGTGAGGGGGAACCTGAATTCAGACGAGGATTAAGAGTCGAGAACTCTACAACGAATCGTCTTCTTTCTCTAATAATTTAATAAAACGTAAAATTTTCCGCGCTTTGCGCGGGATGGGGAAAAACTAAATTCAGACGCGGATTAAGAGTCGAGAACGGTACAACGAATCGTCTTCTTTCTTTAATAGTTTAATGAAGCGTCAAAGCTTCCGCGCTTCGCGCAGGAGGGGGAGGGGGGCTGAATTTAGACAAGGATTAAGAGTCGAGAACTCTACAATGAATCGTCTTTTTTCGCTAATAATTTAATAAAACGTAAAAGCTTCCGCGCTTCGCGCAGGACGGGGGGGGGGGGCTGAATTACGACAAGGATTAAGAGTCGAGAACTCTACAACGAATCGTCTTCTTTCTCTAATAATTTAATGAAACGTCAAAGCTTCCGCGTTTCGTGGAGGAGGATGGGGAAAAACTCGCCCCCCCTCTCCCCACCGACCCCCCCCCCCCCCCCCCCCCCTTCCGCATTACGTCACTGTTGGTCATCGTTACGTACCAATATTTGGCTCGCATAATTTCAAATTTGGGCCCCCCCCCCCTAAGAAATCCTGGATCCGCGCCTGCCCCTAACCCCCCCCCCCCTCCCCTCCCCTCCCACCCCATCCAGCTAGAAGGGGATGTGACTTTTAGATCATACCCTCACCTTGTAGGCTAGTACGTACGTAATTCGGGCTCTTGGGCCTTCTTATTCTAAATGCCATTAATTCCCAAATGAATCACCAACAGTTTTGGTTTGAAACCTCATTAGGGAAATTCCCTTGAACGCGCGGACGTATGCACTGGTAATCACAACATCTCACTTGCGATCTTGTACCGGTCGATAGGAGTTTCGGCTGGTAGTTCACCGTACGTGTGATGTCAACGCTGTGAAAATTACCGGGAAAAGTATAGAAAATTCAGCATCATTTTAGTGTTATGTATTTAGTATGTTTGTTGACAAACTTTGCTTTTTAACTATTTGGATTGAACACAACAAGAATGTTGATGAGTCGCCCACTTTTTTTATTCAGTCCCACATGTTGGAAAATGTGTATGGATCCTATCGAGTTGTGTCTCTAGATTTCATTTTCAATGGAGCTTATGTCATCCATTTCTGTACAGAGGCTGTACAGGGCCTGTTCATTGCACTTCCACACTCCTATAATCGTAAATGGGGTGGTCCTCATACATTAGTACCAGCATTATTGCTAAAATGAAGGAAAACTTTTCCAACATCAGTGACCTACGTGAGCTGAGTTGAAAAGATTGTGTTTCACTGCAGGTGTCCTCAGTAAATGTAATGCCGATTTTTTTTTTTTGTAATTCGTACAGTGATGTTTGAACATTTTGAGAATCGATAGAGGTCGTCTGAACAGTTTTTCCTACCCAAAAAGTATACTAATGCCTCCTTGAGTAGAATATCACAGACCATTTGAATTTTGTTTAATTTAGTAACAATCCTCAGGACAGCCGATGCCCGATGGAGAAGATACTAAAGGATGTTCTTGGGGCTACGAGGGTCAAATCATTCGGTACAACTTCCGGAGGCTGCATCAGCGATGGACAGAGCTACGACACCGACAAGGGCAAGTTCTTTGTCAAAGTCAATGGAAAGAGTGGGGTAATTTGATTGAAATCTCATAAATTTTCATGTTTGTAACCAATAAAGTCATATCAGACTTCATTGGTCTGCTACTGCAAACGATTAACATCTATATGTATCAATTTTCAATCTCATTAATAGTTATTGTATGTACGTAGTACAGATTCTATATTTTGTATTTTAGCTCATTAAATTTTGGTTCAAAATATCTGAGCCAATTTTTTACATTTGAGCCTATTCCATTTTCATTGCATTTATACTTCATGACATTAAAACATGAAAAGTCAATCACAACTGATTTTTTTTTAATATAATGATAAATACAAACAATTTCATTAGATTGTCACCATCTATACAATATTAGCATCCATAACATAAGTAACTTGATATCCTTTATGAAGGCAAGGCAGATGTTTGATGGTGAGAAGGCAAGCCTTGAAGCTATACAGGCCACAGAGACCATCAGGGTTCCCAAACCTGGACCAGTCTTGGACAATCCTTCAGGAACGGGAACCATATTCATCATGGAACATCTTGATCTTCAAGGTCTAAGCAAACATTCTGCAGCTCTAGGTGAACACTTAGCAAGGTATGATCCTGAGGCCATGTTCTATGTTCTTGAGAAGTATGCTAATTGTCATAAAAATTTTAAACTGCTTAGAATAAACACTTATTAAAGGACATGCGTAGCTGTCTCTTTTAACTATTATCTTAAGTATCCAGCTTTGTATAGATGTTAACCAATGGCAGCCATGCTAAAGCTAGGGTAATATTAATGGAGCACCAGGTGTGGCAATTTGCCAGACATAAATGCTGTAAAAGAAGTCACTATCATTATTTATTATTAATTCGGTTTAGCAAGCACTTAGAGCTGTAGGACCCTTGTTTTCTTATCAAGATGTTTCGTATGTACTGCTTTCAGCTGTCAGGTTAAACGGACATTGATAATTCGATATCACAATTTTCATTTTATTTTTTTATCCTGCTGCATTGTGACTCTATCCCATACAGATTGCACCTTCACAACCTAGACGAGGGTAAGAGAGCCAGGCAAGAAGAAGGGCGTGTAGGGGCAGATACCTCCCAAGGATTCGTCAGTCAGTTTGGATTTCATACCACCACCTGCTGTGGCTACCTTCCTCTTGACAATACATGGTGCGACGATTGGGTGGTAAGAGAGGGGCAAAGGTTGTGAGGGTAGAGGGAGCGGGGGGGGGGGGGGGGGGGGGGGGAGGGAGGAGGGGGGAAGGGGGAGCTTCATACAACCACCTGCTGTGGCTACCTTCCTCTTGACAATACATGGTGTGACGATTGGGTGGTAAGAGAAGGGCAAAGGTTGTGAGGATAGGGGAAGCGGGAGGGGGGAGGGGGGAGGGAGAGAAGGGGAGGGGGATTTCATACAACCACCTGCTGTTGTTACCTTCCTCTTGATAATACATGGTGTGACGATTAGGTGGTAAGAGAAGGGCAAAGGTTGTGAGGGTAGGGGGAGCGTGAGGGGGAGAGGGATGGGGAGGGGGGAGGGGGAGAGGGATGGGGAGGGGAGGGGAGCTTCAAGCCACAATGGCAGGAGTTTTGGCCTAGACTCTTTAAGCAGCTTAGCGAAACATAGTGCCACGAAAAGAAGCGTCTGGAACCCAAAATTGCATATTTGTTGAAAATCATAGTTTTGTCACATAGAGGTAGAAACACATCATTCGTATATGGAGCTAGTAAATGCACATACCATCTTGATGAGGCTTAATGTTAGGTTAACTTTCATTTAGATAAGTCAAAACAGAACATTTTGCATTCCAGACAAGTTTTTTTATGCCACCACATTTTGCTATAAAAGTCACGTTAACGGTTCTTATTTGAGGGCATTGAGACCAATGAGAAGAGGAAAGAATGACTGTGGGAGGGGTGTGGTTGTGTTTTTATGCTTTGTGGAGTAAAAGAAGTAGCCTTCCTCAGCAAATGTCCCTTCATTTATCTTAGTAGTATGTTACAGATATATAAAGTACACTCTGCTTAAGTCATTTTATTTTGCTGCATCATTTTCTTTTAAAGGTGGTTACTATGTATATGTTTCAATGAAGTTTTCTACAGCACTAATCCATTTAAAGAGCCATGAATCTATTAGTTGTGTTCTCCCAACATCCTATATCTTTCAGTACCGTTGTTTATGTAAAGGCTTAAGATGAATGATATACCGGTACAGAGGCATAAGCTCTTGCATAGATCTGGCGTAATATTTTAAATAAAGATGTCCTTTGCCCAGCATCACCAAAAGAAGCGGCTAAGAACTTTTAAAGATGTCATTATTATTTGACTTTGTTTGTTTTGTTTTGTTTGTTTCTTTCTGTTTGTGTATTTGACAAAAGTTTGTTTATTTGTGTTTAAAAAATATATTGATCTCATACAAAATACTTGTACAAATTCCAATGCAGCGCTTCTATACTGAGTACCGCCTGAAGAAGCAGCTAGACCAGATACAGGAGAAGAGCAGTGACAAAGAGTTAAGAGAACTGTGGCCACTCCTGGAGAGAAAGATACCCAAGTTGTTTGAAGGTTTGGAGATCACTCCTGCACTGCAGCATGGTGATCTATGGGGTGGTAACGCAGGCCAGCTTGAATCTTGCCCAGGTAAGGAAAATTGGATGTATGGGCGGTTGTATGACATTTGCTTCCATGACATTTCCTCTGTGTCAATTTCCTACACTAACCAAAAACCTAACATCAATCCTGGATTCAACACTCTACCTAGCCCTAAAGCAAACCCAACCCTAATCTAAAACCCAAACCCAACCATAACAGCCCCAAGCAATTGTCGCAGATGTAAATAGCGGGTGGCTACATGGGCATCTCTGTGGTGATCTGATATTTGCTCCAAGCTTTATTTTGTTAAAGTATGTATGGTTGAAATGCTGAAACAGATGGCTAAAGACCGAAGTACTTGGAGAGACACTTGAAGTAGAACTCTATTGGGTCATTGAACCTGTCATAAACTGACAGATCACTATTGATGATGTATGGTTAGGATATATATGGTCCTACAACCATGTCTCTGTCTGTGTGCATCCTCCTGGTCCTATCTCCTGTTTGAGGCATAACAAGTGGTTTTTACATATTTGCAAATGTGCTTTGTGATGAACATGATTTCCAGATAGATTTCGCTCTCTGTATACATTTTGCTGATCAAAAAGACATTTCTCTTGCATTTTCAATCAGTTTATCTCCAAACATGATTCTAAACATCAGAACTCTAGACTAGCTATATGCCCACATATTTGAAATATTCAATCAAGCAAATTTGTATACTATATTTCATTCAATCTTTGCAAAGATATGAAGAAAATATAATAAATTTTGAATGATCATATTAGTTACTGGCATAAGACGCATCCTTTTTCTGTACTCTAGCGGCAAACGTGACAGCTTTACTTTCTAGCATGCTGATACACCTTTTCCCATCTCCTTCCTACTTCATGTCATTTTTCTCTGTTATACTTGCAGTTATTTTTGATCCAGCCAGTTTTTATGGCCACCATGAGTTTGACTTGTCTATAGGAGCCATGTTTCACTCTTTCAACCAAGACTTCCATAAGGCCTACCACAAACTCATCCCCAAGGCTCCTGGCTTCGAGGAGAGAGAGAAACTATACTTACTCTTCCACCACTTGAACCACTGGTTAGTCACCCTCTGATGGAAGACAAGGATGATTTATAAAGATAATTATTTGATGATGATGATGATGATGATGATGATAGTGATGATGATTTATAAAGTTAATTATTTGATGATAGTGATGATGATGACGGTGATGGTGATGATGACCATGATGATGATGATGGTGATGATGACCATGATGATGATGATAGTGATGATGATGATGATGATGGTGATAATGATAATGACTATGATTATGGTGATGATGATGATGAAGATGATAATGGTGATGGTGATGATGATGATGGTGATGATGGTGATGGTGATGGTGATGGTGATGATGATGATGATGGTGATGATTATGATGATGATGATGGTGACGGTGATGGTGACGATGATGATGATGACGGTGATGGTGATGATGATGGTGATGGGGATAGTGATGATGATGATGGTGATGGTGATGGTGATGATGATGATGATGATGATAATGTCTATGATGATGATCATCATCATGATCATGGTGATGATGATGATGATAATGTCTTTTTGGATGATGATTATGATGATGATAATGACTATGATGACGATGATGATGGTGATGGTGATAGTGATGAGGATAATATATTTGAGGATGATGATGATGGTGATAATGATAATGTCTATGAGGATGATAATGACTATGATGATGATGATAATGTATATTAGGATGTTGATGACTATGATGATGATAATGGATTACCTCTGATGTAACATTGAACGTGCCTTATTATGTGAGCATTGTATTTTTTCATTCTCTCTTCAGGAATCATTTTGGAGCAAGCTACAGAAGTTCTTCATTATCTATCATAAGAAGTCTTATCAAAGACTGAATCCAGAGTTTGTAACCAATCATAAGAACTCTCAAGCTGCCATCCCAAAGAACCAACATACCTGCATTCTATCTATCATCAACAAATGTGAGGAACTCAAGAGGAACCTTGTTTACCCTAAATCTCTTACTGCTGTCAATCGTTTTGGATCAAGTTACGAGGCTGTTTATACTGACCAAACTAAGAACAGTTGGACCCACTGATGATAGATCTTAAGAACTCTCAAGGTGCTATCCCAAAGAACTACTGTCACCATCAAGTATGAGGAACTCAACTCAAACCTTGTTTACTCAAAATGTCTTGCCGTTAACCGTTTTTAAACAGGTTACTTTGCTTACATATCATGGGGTGTGTTTATTGACCAATTTTTTGCCTAGAATCAGTGTTTTCAAACGTCTTTTAGGCAAATTTTTAAGGTGATAAATGCAAAGCCTTTTTCTAACGTCTGTAGATATGGGCATATTGTAACGCCGAAAAAGGTGCGTTTCGAATGTGACATACAGCCAGAATCACGTTTCTGAGAGATGATAAACGCAAAGCTGTTTTGAACTCCACATACAAATCGGACCTTCCCAGGCTAATTTCCGGTTCGAACGCTATATGTGTAGCCATTAAATATATTTGAAGCTGATTGTTCAATTGTACATTTTATTTTAAGTCATGTACGTTATGTGGGTTTAATCAAGTGATAATGTTGTTTCAAAGATAACGACTATAATAAATAATAAATGCCTAAATCTCATTTGTGGAGGAATCACTGTTTATCAACTTTGCTCTGATTTTATATAATTGCTTAGAGGGAAAGTTAGTGGTTGTGAGGGTTATGGTGATTGATAACTTATATTACATATACACTTTTTAAACCTGAAATATTTGTTAATTACTGATTTATATGCACATGAAGTTATGAAAATTGCATTTATGATTGTAATATTGGTACATGCCTAAGTTTAAGTTTCTCCTTGGTTCATTTTCCTATGCATGAAATGCCACATACGCACACACACATGCACAAGCACACACTCTCTATCTCTATCTCTCCTTTCTCCCTCTCTCTCTCTCTCTCTCTCTTCATTATATTCAATCACAGAAACAGAAATAACTATTTTATGAAATATTTTGTTTCATATATTAATTTTTAATTAGGGTAGATTTTTTATCACAACATCAGAAAACTTCTGTTCATCTGAAGAAATTGTCTGAACTATTCTTACTTTTCTTTCTGAAAGATATATCTTTTTGAGTTTATGTGCTTGTATATCATGTATTTGTCATTTATTTAGACTTTCTATGTAATACACAAGGCCAGTGGTGAATTATTAACAATGAGTATTTATCAACATATACATGTAATGTATATGTATATTAAAGTCATATTCAACAAATAAAGAATCTTGAATCAAAGTTATTTTGTACTATATTTTGATATTCTTTTTTTACACTTGACATACCGGTATGTACATTTTCAAATTACAACTTCTTTTTGTACATCCTTTTTTATGGGGGGGGGGGGGGTCGGGGGATAGTGAGCACTAAAAAAAATTATATATTTTGCTCCCCGAAATTTGAAAATCGTGCAGACCAATATATATATATTTTGTTGTTGTGGGGGGGGGGGGGGGGGGGGCAGAAGAAAGCACTACAAAAAAAAATAATTTCCCCCCGACAAAGGGGGGGGGGGGGGGTGTTAAACCCCTTTGTAGATCCGCCTCTGGTTAGGTATACAGACGGCTCCAACAAGGAAATGGCGTTCACCTTAATAAAGATGCCACGTCACCGACTGGTTTTTTACAAGTCCCCAAATTTTATGTTTCAATCCCTACTAAGGCCGGGGCCACAAATCCCTCCCCCCTTTCGAATGTTTGCCCCTGCATCAAAACCCCTGAACCTTTGGCGCTAAAATTTCATGAGTTTTTTCCCTCATGTCTCCCGCACAGTTTGATACCAAATTTGTTATGTATGTGTGTATGTATATTTGTAAGCGTGAATGTGTGTTTGTATAATGTTATTTTAAAGTTTTTAAACTGTATAATTTATGGGTAGTTTGTTTTTCTTTTTAAGGCCCCACCACAAGCAATTTGCTTCTAAGGGTGTCCTTTACCGTATTATGTTTACTATGTTACTCATTTGTATGTAGATATTTCATTTTTATGGTTAAAATAAAATAAACTGAAACTGAATATTGCCCCCCCCCCCCCCCCCATTAAGACCTCAGATAGCCCAGCCTTTTTAGGGTTATGGGCCCACCAGTGTTTTTATGCATTTCAGAACACATATTTTGGCTGAGAATATTCGTTTGGTGTAGAAAACCCACTATAAACAATACAGTGAAATATACAGAGTGAGTCAGAAAAAATGTATGTAACATAAATAATTATGTGGGCATTAAATGAAACATAGTATACAAACTTGCTTGATTGAATATTTGAAATATGTGGGCATATAGCTAGTCTAGAGTTCTGATTTTGGAATCATATTTGGAGATTAAAAAACTTACTGGCTGAAAAAGCAAAATGTATACAGAGAATTACGCAATACGTGAAAACCATTTCCCTGTTGGAGCCGTATGTGTACCATATAAGGATAACATGAACCACAATATCAGTAAGGTTATCTGTCCATAAAGCCGACGCCGAAAAGGTATGATTATATAGGAAATAACAACTGAACAATGCCTCAAGAGAGCAATATAACACGATGGCTCATAAGAAACTAAAACTTACATGAAATAATTACTTCTAATTTTATACCGTGCTTTTATTGTTATGTAGCCCCTTTTTTGTGATTCAGGAACCCCTCGCTTCACTACAGGGTTACTTGTGTGGTGGAGATTCTGCAGATGTTCTGAACCCTCCTGTAGACAACCATGTGCCAGTTAATATAGGTCGGTAAGGTTTGACTTTGATAGTGAAAACAAACGGCTTTAAAAAAATTGGCGCATCATCCCTCCAGCAGATCTAGATGATGCCAATGCTGCAGTGATGGGACTACAAGCTAGGAGAAACATGTCGCAGAGAAAACAAAGATCGATCTGATAGGACCTTACAGATCCAAGCACCCTGCAACATGCCAAAGTTCATTTGAAAGAAAAGTTTGATGACGCCTTTTCTCGTCATTCCTGATTCGAAGGCGTTATGATATTAACAGTTTTGTCAATGTTATAACAAGTATTTTTTTAATGACAACTGATGGTAATTTAATTGTGGTTATATTTTCTACTCGTCATTTCTATGAATTCTTATTAATTTACCTCAAGACCCAAACAGCGCAGAAATCTCTTGCGTTCTTGTTTAGCAGCACATCGATATTGCTTGTTCGTCGTCAGAAAAATGAAGAACTTCCACCAGGTATTGATAAACGAGGTAAAATTGACGAATTGGAACGCTATAATGGAGACGTATCCACGGTCAGACATATCTCGGACAACTCGCACGGTAACGGCTGGTAGGGCCACGATGTAGGTAGAGAGAATTAGGATAAGAACAGTGCGGATGCCTTTGAGGTACCGCATACGAAACTGACCATGATCACCAACTCCTTGGGAAATGTCCCCGCCAACATGTGGCTGTAGTTTGGTCTCGGCGCGAATCTTGGTGAAAGTGATGACCAGAGTGCCCACCTGTGTAGACATGCAAGCGATCATGAATAGAACCGGTAGATAAAATGTAAAGATCACCCAGACCTTGTCTCCAGTCATGCCCATTTCCCTGGGGAAACATTCGTTAATCACTGTAGGATTGTGTCTCCATGAGACAAGTTGACCAATGCTTACAGCCAAGCAAACAATGGTTGCAAGGGTGAAACTAATGGTTGCCACCGACTTGGTGACGATTCGTTGGTAAAGGAATGGCTTCCATATCAGTAAAAAGCGATCCCCGCTCCATGCAGTCATGTAGCAAAGGGAAAATGTGCTGAAAGCATGCTGCAAAATATAGACATAGACGCAAGTATGAGTGTCCTGGCCCCGGATGGTGATCAGAAAGTTGTGGCAGACGGCTGCAAGAGCACAGAGTTGATCTGTAACAGCCATGGTCATGGCGTATTGTCTAGCTCTGTATTCAAACCCGCAATCTCCTCGACGAAGGACTTGGATGTTGAAATTGTTCAACCCGACAGAGAGAAAGAGATGAATCGTCATGGCGACCAGCATACTTACTTGAAAGCCGTATGATAGAAAGAACGCATCATCACCGATGACTAATTGAGAGGAGTCATTATCTGTTTTGTGTGATGTATTTACAGCTTCATCCATATTAGGTGACCTTGATTAAATAAAAGATGGCTATTAAAAAGAGTATGCTTATGATGCAAAGTCGACACAAATCACAGAAATCGTCCAGTGTTCATGCAATTTGTGTTCTTTAATGTGCCTTCGCTGGAGTATTAACCTTCACTGACATATATAGCGGTTTAAAACTACTCTGGCACTTCTGGTTTGCTATCCGTTAACACTGATAACAACATAATCACTTTTTCAATTGAAACAGAATCCCGTGACGGAGTTGATTCGGTATGAAAAGACCATAGAATATCATTGCCAATTAAACAAGAATCATGTAAATAATGAGAAAAGTCTGCAATCGATGGGAAAAAACGAGTATTACAACTGACAGATTGATTAATATATCTCATATTTTGACATAGTCGAGGGTTGTGTAAATTGAAAGACAAGATTTTCTTCATCGTTGCTTTGCTCGAATGTCGGCAGAAATAGACCGTGGGCCTTTGACAAACTTCCTACCAGAACTCTCAGCAAATTTGTTTGACTTGATGGCGATGTACTTGTCACAATCCTGCTGGTGTATTCTCTTTCTTTAATTCGACTTTTTTTTCTGATTTGAAAATAAAAACCCGAGTCATTGATATCGGTTGTGTGTTGAGTGATAATCTGTTTTTTATTAATTTTGACTCCACTATACTCAGCTTGTCATATTGAAAAGGATTATGAGTTATTATAAACCATATCATTCAAGAAGAATCTTTTTGTTTACTTGGGGGTGGGTTGCTTGAAGGCTGGGTTTGTGGGTTATTCTAATCACTTTCTTCATGTGCCTCGAATAAACTAATTTATTTCCAAAGTTTTTTTAAATAAATTTCTAATATTTGTAGATGTATCTATTTATATATTTATTTGTATTATAATTGCAATCATTTTCTGCCTGTGCCTCGATTAAACTAATTTATTTTCGAAGTTTTTTTAAAATAAATATTGTTATCTATTTATATTTTTAGTTATCATTATTATTGCTGTTACAATTTTTTAGGAAGGGGTGGGGTCTTAAGCCACTCTTGAACCGCTATTGATGTGGTGAATACTTTCAAAAATGAAACTAAATGCTTTCATAAAGGATGAGTACACTATAATTATGTTAGTTTTTGCCAAAGCAAAAAACTAGGAATTAAACAGGTTAGTAAAACACCAAAAAGTATTCTTATCATACTTCTTGGTAGACGTAGTTACTGTCATCGATAAATGATAAATACTAAACTCGGGTTATAAAACTGAATTCCATTCGTTCATTCCCAACCACGGTTCTCATCAGAAGTTTAACATTCATCTTGATTCTCCGCCCTTCCAAGCTAAATCTACATTTGTTCTCAGTTTTCTCTCGTTGAAATTCAACAGTTTTAGGAAATAACTTATTTGATGATCAAGTCCGAAGCGAGAACGAAATAAATGTCGTTGACAAAATATTTATTAAATATACGAAGAAATTATAACAAGGGCTAAAAGAAAATAAAGCTGAGCTGGACTGGGCATCATTACTAAGATGCGTTCAATGATTCAAAGAAATAAAGCTCCAGAAAATGACCCAATCGTAAAAGAAATATAGAAGACTAGAAATTTGTGTTATTACCACTACTAGAGATCTTTAATCTAATTATGGAAGAAAGAACCAAGGTTTTGAATACACACTGGCTGCTGGTACAAATATATTTTCAGTTCCATCTGGTAATGAGGAAAGAGATTTGGGAGTGCTGTTTCAACAGGACCTGTCCTTCAGCACCCATGCAGCAGATGCTGCCAAGAGAGCCAACATTAAGTTAGGAATGATAAGAAGGTCGTTTTCAGCCTTGCAAAAGAAGGGGTTCCTTAGTCTCTACAAAACTATTATTCGACCAACACTAGAATACTGCAACTCTGTATGGTGCCCAATACTCAAGAGAGATGAAGACATACTAGAAAAAGTCCAGCAGAGGGCCACCAGACTTCTTCCTGAGCTGAGACAAAAAGCATACCCAGACAGACTTAGAGAACTACAACTTCCTACTTTGGCTTACAGAAGACAAAGAGCAGATCAGATACAGATATTCAAAATCCTGAGAGGCTTTGACAGAGTGAATCCTTCAAAATTCTTCCAACTAGCAACTGGCTTAACAACAAGAGGCCATGATTTCAAGAT